TCTCTGCCCGTGAACACTGCGGAACCAGCGAGACTTGGAGACTTCGGTGTCATTGACACCGGGCTCATTAAGGACGAAAGTGGTTTTGTTCCAACGAAGCAAGTTGCAGTGTCTAACGGACACGCAAGCCTCGTTGAGGCAATAAAATCGATTGGAATTGTAAATGTTCTTAATCTTAATGTAACGGGGTTATACATATCCTGGTATCAGGGGTGTGTGTCACACCAGATGGGCATGGTGTGACCACACCCAAACAAGAATACGTTACGTGGCTGGATAGCCAGTAGTACTACATGTATTTAGATTTTACTATATATATTCAGGAAAATCTATGCTTTTAAAATGAGGTAGCTATGCCACAGATAAAAATAAATAAAGACAGTTTTGAATTTAAGCGGAAGAGTTAATTAGCCTTGGGTTAAGGCCATAATTACTCTTGGAGTAAGCGGATTGCGATCCGCTAAACTCACACTTGTTCTGAGTATAGAACGAGAGGTCGGTGACCTAACTTTCGCTTCCTTAAAGCTCAAAGCTACGGCAGACCCACTGCAGGAATGCTAAGCGGGTTATCGCGACAAATTTAGTCTATTGTGAGTGGAGTGGCTAAGGCAATTTCAGGTAGTTTAAGACTTCCCTCACAACCCCAGGCAGAAGCTCTTGATGAGTATGAAGAGTAATTTTTGATATTTGTGGCAGAAGTACCGATGGGTTACGGATTGTTTTGCAGGAGAATCCGAGGTTCTTAACGATTATGAGTAAGTCTTTGTTGATAACACTCGCGGAGCAGCAATTTCGATTAGTGGCAAGACAATCCTAAAAAAGTATACAGATCCTTAAATGAGAGAGTATAATGACGTGGCGACGCAAGATCTACCATGGATGTTACTCCCAGATCAAGAAGTGCATCGTGATATTAACATGGTGCCTGAAACCAAAGTTGTGTCATACACCAAACTTTTCTGGTGCATCGCAAGAAGCTGGGTTAATACGAGAAAAAGAAATCTTCATCACAAGTGGCGACCCTCTACGTCTAGAAGTCGCACGGCAAGTGGCAAATTGTGCGGGCTAAAAAAAGCGACTATAGTGCTTTTTTAACAGTACAAACCCTGACTCAAAGAATGATTGGGATTCAGTACGGCATGGTTGGCTTTACCTTGTATCATACTCTTGGCCAAGTTGACGAAATTACCATCTGCTCATGAAGAATTGACACCTCTTGTCTTATTTGAGCAGGATGTATTGGTAAGGAAAGAGTCAAAACATGGCTTGCCGCTGACTAGTGTGTCGGATCGATATCTGCGCTTTCCAGCAATTTTTTGGCACACTTTGTTCTGGGCGCCAGGCACCTGACTACACTTATTCAATGCTGGCCAATCTCAGCAATTGGTTAGACAGAGCCATTAATTAGGGGTAGAGGATATTCTTGAAAGCACTTGCGTGGAGACCAAAGTGCCAGGCGAAATGCTTCCACTCAACGAGTTTGAGATATATTTTGATGTAACTCTTAACAGGCCTAACTCTTCTTTGTAAGTGTTATATCCTACGTTCCGTCGGCACTGCCGCAAAGTAACTATATTCAAGATGGAACGATACAATTTGACTATCCTGATCACACTTTGTTGCAGATTTAATGTTCCCCTCGATGAAGCGGTTCGTTTTCTGCTGAATGCACAGCACCGTAGCTAATAGCCAAAAGTAAAATGTAGATGGTAGAGGCAGGCAAAACGCTCATAAATCTGCTGTCTAGAAAAGCTTTGCTCAAAGGCTTCAAACATAGCGACTCAATAAAACTAAGCTGTGACCTAACAACAATGAGAAGTTAACGGTCGTGGCAATAGTCAATTTTTTTTACACTCTTAATATCCCGAAGGTAATGCAAATCCATTGTATGTTCAGCATGAGCTCACTGAAGCCGCATGAAGGCTCAGGCTAACGAGCCAATCGGATACTCAGCGCTCTGTGGAAGATGTACCGACAACATCTGTAGCTGATGAACTTTCTAGTTCAAACTCGCGATACGGTTCTGATGCGCTACTGGAGTATCGAGTCAATTTTTTCGATTACGCAGCGGCAAGGTCACATCCGAAAAAGACATATGTCAATATTGACCGCACGCCCAGACTCTAGAGGTAGGCGACTTGCTGCTATGACGTACTGGCATCAACTTATCTAGCCCAACTAGTTCGAAAGAGCTCGTCAGAGCAAACCGCAGGAGAGATGTTGTTCACTGGCTCTGCTCGATAAACATATAGTGTTCTTTCACCCTGGTAACATAATATAGGTCAGAAAGGTTTGCCAGAGTTGAGCCAAAGCATCTGGTGAAATGAAAAGGATACCCCACCATGAGAAGCCGATAAAATTCCAGGTCCCACACTGAGCTGGCGTTTATGAGTGATGCTTTCTCTTCAAAAGAAGAGACTGGGATCGCGCCTCTTACTAGCGAAATGGGCCGGCCTTGCTTTAAGCCCAGTATTCTGGCCAGCGGTACTTCAAGAAGGTTTTGTGGAGATAAACAGCAGCAAGAGCTTGATGTGGTGAGCGTTTATCACATACTTTGTACGTCAAAATTAAGGATGAGAGATCATTCTAGTCGTCAAACCAGGAAAACGTTTCACGGGAATGACTTGAAAAGTCGAAAGACGTGAAGGAGGACGCAACTTGTTCACTCAGTACATGAATGAGAAAGATACTCTTCGGTGCTTAGCTAGCGCTAATAACATGATGCGGTCTTTAGAACTCAATTAGCCGCTTCTGCTGAAGGCGCAGGCAACACTTCTTAGGAGTGTGAACAGTGAATTAGACAGTGTGGATGAAGTGACTTTTGCAGCCTTCATTCCACTCTCGGTATGAGTCGAAGGCCTACAAACATTGGCGTGTTTTGGATTTGCTGTGCGGCTTTCGGTTAATCACATCCACACTCACGACAGTTGCTTTGAGTCTTGCGCTTGCAGATGGGTAAAATCGGCTTGACTCGCTGGGCTAGTCCCAGCTCATTAGCAACCAGCGGGACGTCGTCGTGAGTCATGCGGCAGTATGTCGTGCTACATCCCGTCGCAGAAGGGAGACGGAGTGCGCAATTTGTCCGTAGATTAGGGAGGCTTAGAGGACGCCTCACTCCTAGAAAACTTCATGGAGACAGGGAGGCTTTTATTGTAGTTTCTCGGTGTAGGCAGAGATGACGGGGTGTGACTCGGAGAGTCACTATTACCACTCTCAATGTAGTACATCCCTCTTCCGTTACTGATTATGATTCTCAGGTCGTCGCCCGATTTTATAATGGCTCGTTGACGTTAAAATAGGGCTTCCGATAATAATTATATGCAGTCACCGGTAGAGATAAGACTGTGGGACAGAGATCCCTCCTAGAGCGTTCACTTTTACGCATTGACTCAAAGAGACAAAATTCTTCCGACTCGGAACCCTATTTTTGTGGGAAGGTGTAACGGGTTCAAACAAAATAATACTGGATATACACACTAACCCAATGGCACATATGCTTCTTAAAGTTTAGTGAAGCACAAAAGTATTAGATAAAGCAAGGATTATGATGAGACATCATGATTTCTGGTGAAAAGGGTGCCGGTTATGGGATTTCATAGTCTGTTTGACACATGGGCTGCTGATTGCACACTATGCATTTTTATAAGGCCTTTCTGCCCTTAATTTTAGAAAAGATACAGATAATGATATATATGCTCGGTTCTTTTAGCAAGACCAAGAGAATAATTCAGTAGTTTTGAAGGCTTTTGTTTGGCTATTGAGTGAAGCGTACGTAGTCTCTCTGCACGATATTCGATGCGGACTTATAGATTTAGCGCTCCCTGTAATCAAGCAGAACTTTGAAGCTTCTCACATAAATCAATAAAAAAGGCGCATAAATTTACGTTTGATCGACGGGATTGTTAAAGAATGCATTCTTCGTTATGGTGTTTGATAAGCGTTACACTTTTTGTAGCTCGGGCTCACAGCAAAATTCTAAGAAGTAGCATGGTGTTTACAAGATTGGGGTGACGGTACTCTCAAAGGAGAGTTTCGACGAGCACTTGGGCTACTAGTCATAATCAATGTGGTCGTCACGGTTTAAACACATATTTTCAGCGTATGTATGAGATATCATTTTTTGCTTGCTTTGATGCTAAATATAGTTGCATTAGTTTGATCAAGTCAATGATTGATTAGTCCTGGATATCGTGCCATAAGGACAGCAATTGCACCTACTTTTTGCGTTGAGTAACGCGAATTCTGCAAGTCAATGTTTTCGTTGTGTAAGGTGCATGGCAATCACGTAACACTTGGTAGCTCTTGTTGTACATCAAAAGACTGAGTCACGGTATTTACTGCCGGGAAGAAGCACGAAATGCTCACTCGTCTCTCCTCGAGTGAATTAGGTATACCTCATAAGTGCTGAAGCTGGTCGAAAAATATAGTGGGATTAGAGGCCCGAGGCTCGGAAGCGTTAGTTGTTTCCCTCAGCTACGAGTATGCGTTGGTCATACATCATTTCTAAAGAGCGTTTATCAGATGTAGGTGGCAGCACCTCCCCCAACAGAGTGTCGTAGTTTGAGACCGCTACAAACACTCACAGCGCTAGTTATTCTACAATGCACTACGATTAATCTTCGAAACTGTAACTTATGGTTCGGCGACGAAAGATGGAACCTCTGTTAGAAAAAGAAAAGGCAGGGACCTTTAAAATAATAACGATTTCATTTTCACTCTAGGCAAATTAACGATGGTGATTAGTTACCCTCAATACTGACTTTTCAATCTCATATGTGACGTGAAAGAGACCGATCTGTGCGCCAAAATCGAAAGTTATCGCGTAGTCAAGGTTCAAAATACCTTGGAAGCAGCCTCTGTTTCTATTTGGTCAGTAGTTGAATATCGCTATAAGGTGGTATTTTATATATGATGCGCTCGAGCCAAGGATAAAAACAGTTATTAATGCAAGCATAATAATGTTTATATAAGCTTTTATAACTAATGTTGCTTCTGGTTAATTGTGTCGACTTGTAAGAATACTTGCAAGATGCGGGTGAGCTATAAGTGTAGTATCAACCCGCTCATGCCCTGCAAAAGATCAGGATGTTGATGGGTTTAGACCTCTTAGAAGTACGAAGAGATTGCTGTCTTTGTCATATCGCAGGATATACTTACAATTTCTAAATGACAGATAGTTTTTTTGTACTATCTGTAGCTCTTTAACTTGCCGTCAACGGCGCAAGCTTTCAACAAAATTGACCGTGGTTCCGTCACACTCACAAACAGCTGCTTCTAGTTCCTCCAAGGCAGCTGCACCGTGCAAAAACCGCTAATCATAGAGCCGTCGATGATCGTGATGATAGTGCTAGTTGCACTCCCGACAACCGGCTGCTATCCTATTGGTGACATCGGCTCTGGTAAGAGTAGCAAGCACGAAAAGTGTTTCCTGTAATGAGAATATACGATACGATGGCGTAAGAATACCTTACACGTCGGTGTGATCTTACAAAATATATTCATATAGAAGAATAGAGCATTTCAATTATGTGTAATTGTAAATATTTCGATGTATCAAAGCATCGGTACTTATAAAGATGATGGAACCCTGTAAAAAGGGGGGGGTTGTGCTACACGCGTGCTATTAGACTCGCATCAAGCAACTAAAGATAGTTTATCATTGGATATATTAAAAGTATAGAAAGAATATTGTTTAGATCGACTGAGGTATTAATACATGCCACTCTTGTAAAAAACAGAGCTAATCAAGTACTAATTGATCGTACAGGAGATTGGCTTCGCTCCTTTGCAAATTGTACGAGCAAAACCTATCCGTGTCATGTGACAACGCGAGACATTGCTATCATTGTGTGAGGTGAAAGGCGCCCCGTTGTATCTCCAGCAAATGATCACGCAGCTGTTTTTATCATCGACGGTAAAGACGAACTGGATCATTGGGACACTTGACGTTTTTGGTACTGCTTTGACGTTTGTTTTTAAAGTTGCAGTCGACGCCGTGACACTAGACTAAATACACGCACAGGAGAACAAAACATGCTTTTTCATTGCAGGCATTAAAACGCTAGTCAAGCCAAATTATCATCCAAGGCTCATTTCACTAGCCAGCTAAGTCGGCACGAAATGTATGTCGGAGTCAATTAAATTTTCATCGCTATTTGCCGAAGTTATTCTTAACAAAGTCTTGATTTTTTTCGTTCTTGGCGTAATTAAATGCAACATGACACCTGCCTGAAGTGGGCCATGTAAAAGCCATCAATTCCGGGTACTTGCTGTTACTATTTTCTCTTCATTTTGTCACATCTCGCTCTCACGGTGCGAAACCTCTGGAGGCTAACCATTTCTTCGATAAAATGGCAAGCAATACTGTCGTATGTAGTCGTGGATACACCGAGGTTCTAAGTGAACGCTCGCGCTTTGCTTATGCAGTGCGACGACGAAGCTCAGAGAACGAATGGCAGGTTCTGTTTACCTAACCTTCGATGCACACCAAGAGTCTTAAAGAGAGCCAACGAGCCGCCACAACCGAGAGCGCTCACGAAAGCCAGCCGAAAAAGGGTCATCTTCTACCGGAACTGCTTGATACACTAGGGTGGTTAACTTTCTCGTGGAATTTCGTTTGGTCGGTGGGCATACCATACTGTTACCAATATCTGGTAGAGAAGTAATTGTGACTATTAATCTGAGGAATCGAGGTAATTTGAGATTTCAATCTGGCAAAGTTACTCAGATGATGTGGCTCCATTCTTCGTGGTGCACCTCGGCCTTTGTTATTCGTGGAGATGAGGTGGTTCGATCGTCACAGCGTAATACCACAACTAGGAGGCGACTGACCTTGCTTTGAAAAGAATTTTAATCGGTAGCTGTCAAAGAAACCTCATGGAGATGATTAGCCAGGTACTAAGCTATAGGTGGTTGTCACATCTGGTGACGGTCATGATTTGTACTCTGCATAGTCAAGCTAGTGACAAGACTCTGGATATACGTTTGCTTTGCTGGGACAAGCCCATTAAGCCTTGAGACAGGTATGATAGCGTGTTTTCCTCACTCAGTGCAAGAACTGAGTCCGATACTCAGCAGCATTTAGCTTTAGGTACCCAAGGAACATCCGAGTGGAGGGCATCGGTCATCTCAACCGCTGCTGCTCCAGTGCATATGGTAAATCTAGAGTGATAATCTTTGAATCGAGAAATTGCTCACGGAGCGCTATTCTCACGTTCCTTTTTCATAAGCGAGCGGAATTTTAGCTTGCATAAATGTGCAAAGGCTCGTGCCAGCGCGGTGAGCAACTTCAGACGATTTAAAACCGGTGTCACGGCTTGATGACTTCGGCAAGCGTTGGCGTAGCTTTTGCGCTTGCTGTGGAGCAAGCTGAGCTCTATCGGTCAGGTTCAATAAGTCAATATTGAACTAGATATCGCTGTGGGTATCTACCGTAGCAAAAGAAAACAAATTCCAGGGCTCATACATACAGGGTGTAATGTTTGGCAGATTCAGAAGTGAGCTTTATTGTTTTGGTTGACTGAAATGAATGGACATGAAATATGTAGTCGTCATCGTTGAATTGTTTGATCGTGTTTCTGGTCCGATGCTTTTCATTGGATAGGCGCTTTGACGTAATGGGTGACTAAATTGTGATTGGCTGCATTTGGGTGATACTCAGCAACATGTGCTTACGATCAACACGGTACCCAGGTGCGGAATACAAGATGGGTGAGCATCTGTGGACACGATGGGTGCGGCCCTGTACTTCAATGAGCCATTGTAATTGGTAACATCAAACATAACATGTTGCGTACGTTACATAGAACATAACATAGTACATATGTTACACAGGAAGACGGATGGGGCTC